ATCCACTTGGCTGCTGATGAATACTAATTATGGAAGATGGTAATAATTTTTCTCAGTGTGAAAATTTTTTGACCATTTTATAGAAGGTTTTTCCCTTTAGTCTGCTTCAAATCTTCGGATGAAGTTATCAATACATGATGTATCATCGTTTTTTCCTCATATCAAAACTGGTTTGGAAACTGCAATTTTTTTCCATTTGGAATAACTGTTACAAAAAGGACTCTGTTTATAATTGTTAATCTCCAAGGAGATTTACTAAATAACATCATTCAGTTATTATACCAGTTGTGTATAAGAGTCAAAATGGCTTTAAGACAAATGGGTGGTATCGAGTAAAGTAAACATTTTAATTACATAATTAACATCACTTATTGTTTTACAATGGTTACACTATTGTTATGTTTTCCTAATATCTAATATGTAAACAACAGTCTATTTGCTTGGTTTAAGGTTTGTCCTAGGAACCAATGCTATATTTAATGTGTTAACTAAATACTCGGAAAATGTTAATTGATTAAAAAAAAAAAAAAAAAAAAAAAAAAAAAACTTATTGTACATAGAAAACAAACAACTGAAATTTTCAACTTCAGGTTATATTTGTGATTATGCATATGATCCATGTGCTAAAATATTTTAAATATAGTATTAAAAAGTTAAAATTACAGAGTTTAAAATTTTAAAAAATATTCATATTATGCAACATAATCTGATGTTTTGGAGCAATATACATATTTTTAAATTGTGATTTATCAACCTAAATAAATTTTGATTAAAATATCTAGTGGTGAGCTATTAAAAATAAACAAAGAGAATATACTTTAATTTTTATAAAATTAAAATACCAAATTATAATTAAAAGTTTTAATTTTTAGAAAAGCAGAAAACATAAACTGTGCATAAAAAAACATGAAATAAGAAATATGGAAATCATATAAAATAGCAAACAAATTTCCTGATATACACAAGATAGAACCAAGTAGAGATTTTCAAAAAGTTTTTACATTCTGCTAAAGTTTTCCACATTTAACATTGTCTTTAAATCAAAAATTTTTTGTGAGTCAAAGAAGACCTTATTGTGGAAATACATTTTAACGAACTTAAAGTCCGTTTAGCTTCACCTCTGTTAACACCAATATTCTCCATAATAACTATACCTTCCTTGACACTATTAGGAATTTCATTATTCAGTTTTCATAAAGTATGGTTATAACATGCCAGACATGTGTTTTACCTGGAATAAATAATAAGCAAACAAAAAGAACATGGAGTTTGCAATTGCAAGACAAATTGAACAAAGGACTCATGTAAACTTCACACATGCCATCACTGAAGATATCATAATGGACTTTTTGTACCTCATTTAATGTTGCACAAACCTAATATTACTAATACTAAGAATAGGTTAGATAGATTTTACTTGTATATATATATCAAAGCTGTATTTGAAGAAATTGAAATGAAAAAGCTGATTTCCTCACATAGAAAGAGCAGCTTACTAAATGCATTGGATTTCACTTTCTAAAGCTTTTGATAAATTTAATTTGTAGATTTTTCATGCAGTCATTGCAATCATGTAACTGAAGAACTTGGAATGTTGTTTGAACAACCTGTGATCCCAAGTTCTCAAAAACATAGTTGTTACAAAATTCAAAATTTTGACAGGTTATGAATTTAAAGGTTAAAATAAACGAAAAAAGCTTAGACTGATGCAGAGTTTGGATAATTCTTATCAATTTCGAGGGTTATCTGATATACGTTCTTCAAAAACCCAGGAATGAAAAATTTCTTGAATTTTTTAATTTCCGGAAGAGAGACAGACCTATATCAGTTAATTCTGAAAAATGACACGAGATTTTATGTTAAGCTGCTATTTTTGCCTTACTTCAATTTTACATGTTTTTGTCAGTTAAGAATGACATACTTTTATCTGCTCTTGAATGACAGAAACATTAATTTTACTAAACCATGGGTTGTATAAAAATAAAGTACTTTGGAAGTAGATTTAAGCAAAATAAGTATGTTTCACAGAAGATTCATAAGTATGTATAACAGAAATATAAATTCTAATTGTATTGGAAGTTAATAACTTTGAATTACATACTTACAAATGTCTGATATGTGCATATTTGGTTATATGGTACCTATCCCCATACTACTTGATAAGAGTACTCTAGCTGATGTGTTTGTAAAATATCTACAAGACACATAACAATTTCACTGGCATGTCGATCTTCCACAGCCACAGTAATCTTGTTTGCAGATAAGGCATAATATTGGGTACAAATACTTTGATTTTCATTTACCATTTTATGAAGATTATCAGACCAGGTAAGCTGAGCAAAATGTGTCCAAAATCACCATTTATTAGGATATAAACCTAGCTGTTAGTGTTCAGCAGTCTTACCACTCATGGGCTCTTTTTTTTTTTTTTTTTTTTGATAATTTGATAATTGAACATTATAAAGATCTTCACATTTTACATTCCTCATGTTGATGCTACTGACATTTTTTCTAAAAACTCTATTTGTTACATGCATTATCCTTCACACATGTTATGTTTGTAAAAGTATTGCACCTAATCTTCTGTACGAAAATATTGTTTTGGGAATCAAATGTAAATCAAGTACTTTAAATGAACTGAGATTCAAATGTAAAAATTGGAAGACTTTCCTAATATATTTTGTACATTTCTTATGTGTTGAAATTGGAAGAGAATTCGAGATTTTATTTGATACACAAAACAATTTAAAAAATTGCATATTAACCTTTTCAGAAATACAGTATATTATATTTGAGATTTGTGCTATCAATTTATTCAATATGTTACATTTCTTGAAACACAAACATCGCACAAAAATGCAATACATTTTAGAAAAAGTTAAAAAATTAAATTATAATTTGTTAGTATTTAGGAACCTTCTGAAAAAAAGTATATAAGCTTGTGGCTTTGTTGGCTAAATTTGGGTACCTAATATAAACAAAGAAAAAAGCAATGTTTCTTCTACACAGGAAAACTTGAGAAAGCCTTTTTCATGTGCATTTTTTACTTTGTAATAGAAAATTAAATGCTCTCTGTAATTTTCAGGACTACAAAATTAAGAGAAATGTCCAATTTAGCAAATAATTCTTGCAATACAACACTGTTCATCATTTTTGCAAGGTCTGGCTAGAAATTTTATTATACATTTCATGTGAGAAGCCGCCGAATTTTCCATTTTCACTCCATTGCCTTTTATAGAAACAAAAGTTAGAAAATTATTATAAATCAAAGCAAAAAAGATGTCATCAGAAGATACGAAAAGTGGAATGTGAGTGGAAAATAAATCCAAAACAAAACTTTAATTGCTGGCATAAAAATTGGTCACCAAAAACAGTCTCTGGCAGTGGCTTATTCTGATTGGTTGAATTTCTTCAGTTCCTGCCGAGTTTCAGCCACCCAACTATTTTGCCAACTAATTATTGTTGCCAAATTTGGCAAGATCAATTAAAGTTGCCAAACTTGGCAGACATTTGTCAACATTTTGGTTCTATCCCTGTATAACTGTAACTATATCCAGCCCTATATGTAAGTGTAATTTCGAGAAATTGAAGATGCTGGAAATTTCTGAGCGGGTGGGGAAAAGCTATATAATACTGGAGAGAGCATCTGTTCTCAATTTAGTTCAGAAGGTGAGTTTGAAGTACTGAGGGATATTTATGCGAGCTTTTGCTCTTTAGATGCACTATGTTGTATTTAGCTTTCTTAATAGTTTGAAGGGTAACTGCTGATTGTGCTCTGTCATACTGAGAAGAGCTGTATGAGTACTTTTGTGAAAAGTTCTGTAAAGTGTTTCTTTTGGGAAAATAAATTTTATCAAGTTATTAATAGTGCTGTGTGCATTAAATATATTACAAACCCATATGCATGAAACACACAAAAAGAAAAGTAAGTTGTAAAGAGAAAATTAAAAGAAAAAAAAAAAAAAAAGAAGAATATTATTGAAATTAGCAAAATTTTAGTGTCCCATCCACTTTTACTGTAATAATTTATGTGGTAACCATCCATCCTTGTTGAGGAATTAGTAATGAGAGTGCATCTGAAATGCACCATGGCTGTTGTGGTGGCTATGGGGCACTGTTTTGCTGATTTTTCCTTTAAGCATTGACAGTGTAATATCTTCAGTCAAACATGTCAAAATGTAATTCACACTCAGAAAAATAATGGGATGAAGTTGAAACCATGAGCAGATATATCCAGGAAAATAGTTTTAAAATAAGAAAAACAATAGAAGTATTGATCTAGACATTGTGTGACGAAGAAATATATTAGGTTGTTACAAACACAGATTTTAAGACATATTAATAGTTAGCACCATATTCTTAATAATAAAATTAAATATTAGTGCAATTTCAGCTAATTAAATAGATGAAGCACTGGCCAAACCTGAGAAAGGTGTGCACAGTACAAAGTCCGAAATCCAGATTTGTCGGGACTTTGGTGATTCCGGATTTGGGATTCTTCCGGATATTAGATCATCAGTTTAAATCTAATAAGATGGCGGTAGAAATTATAAAATTAAAAATATAAAATAATGAAGTATTTATGATCTAAAAGGTATCGAAATTTACACACACACACACACACACAAAAAAAAAAAAAAAAAAAAAAAGCTTAATATTTATTGGTTTAACTTATTAAACATTTCTTTCAATGTAAGTTGTTTAAGTTGCTTCGTTTTTTGTGTTAATACTTTCTCTTTAATTCTGTAGACAGACATAATCTCTTGTTCAGTTACATCGTTAAGTCCTGTAACTGCTGTTTTGAGAATTCCGACTAACTTGTTAATCGAAATTTTCTCGTTTTCAGTAACTTCTCTGTCACTTTCTTAACTTATCAGTAGCGGTATTTTCTGGATCTAGAACCATACTACAGATTTCTGCATTCATTAATTGATTGATGATTGAGAATCATTGTCATCACAATGAAAAACTTCTTTTATATCATCTTCATTTATTACCGCTTCTCCACGTTTCTTTACAAAATCCATTAATTGGAAAATTTCACCTTTGTTTTGCAATATCTGAAAAACTTTAAAGTTAGGGGTTATCATGATCGAATTTAGCTAGCCTTCACTATACATATTTGGCTATGCATCATGAGCTTGGCGACTAACAACAAGTTGTTCCGTTAAATTTTATCTTGCTTCTATCACGCACTGAGGCAATTAAGCTTGAATTGTATTAGTTTAGTTATTTATTATACGTATGTCTATTTCTTGCACATGCCTAAGGCAGTGCAAGTTCTGAATAATAAAAGATAATAAATCTGGCAGAGTTCTGAATAAATAAATTCCCACACATACTTAAGCCTTATTTGAGGGCTGGCGCTAGATATCTTACCGAATGCAGTCTCCGTGGGTCCTAAATTCTCCAAGTCGGTGCGGCCATACATTTTATTTAATTTAATTTTAATTATTTATCTTTTCATATACTTTTTATTAATAAATATTTTATATTTAGTTTTCTTTCAATATTTTTAAAAATTATTTTATATTTAGTTTCTTTCAATATTTAAAAAAATATTTTATGTGCATTATTTGAGTAATCCTTCTTCAAGATTTATTGATTTCTCCATATTTGCTTTTCTAGGTTTACTGTTGCCAAATGGTGAAATAAATTGGGCTTGTCCTTGTCTAGGAAATATGGCTGTTGGTCCATGTAGTGTTGAATTTCGAGAATCTTTAACTTGTTTCCATAACAGCACAGCAGATCCTAAAGGAAGTGATTGTTTGGAACAGTTTAGAGAAATGAATGAATGCATGGCACGATATCCAGCTTTATATAAGAAAACTGATGAAGAGGAGGAAAGGGCACTTGAAGGCTTAGATGAAGATGATGAAGAATCATTAAATTCATTATCAAATGCGCCAGCTTCTACTTCTGAAACTGTGACAGAAACATCAAAGTCTGAAAAATAAATTATTTTAAAAATATAGTTTTATACTAAATTGTATCTCCATTTGCTTTGTAGTAAGAAGTATTTGAAATATTGTCATTTTCTTGAATCATATGATTATTCTTAGACAGAATATCTCTTGTACATATGCATTTTTTACTACAAATTGTATTAGTTGAGTTATTAAACAGATACAGATATATATATTTGATGCTTTCTTTATCTTTGATCTCCGTATAAATGAAAATATTTTTACAAATATAATCACTTGCACTTTTTTATTTGTATTACACACTAAAATATTAATTTTTTTCAATTAGTTATAAAATTCTGAATATTAATTTATTACTTATTTTTATTGATAAAATTCTGAATACTAATTTATAAACTTATTCTTTTATTGGTAAAATTTTGAATATTAATTTATTACTTATTCTTTCTTTTATTAATTTATTACTTATTATTTTATTGACTGTTATGTGTAAATTTTAAGCTATACATCTACCAGTTGAAACATTAAAACTGAAATATTATTCAAATTTCTGTCTATAACTAGTATATATGTCTATGGTATTTACAAAATTTGTTAACAATGTTGATGCTCTTTTTCTCATAAAGGCCAGTTTGGTAATCATAAAAATAGTGCGAGCGGGCTACTCACGTGATGCATTATTAAAGATGGTCCTAAGCATGAATGAGCCATGCCTTATTGATGTTAGGTGTCAATACAGCAGCACCAGGAGGATATTATGACCAACAGAATCTAAAATTCAGATCTTGATGGGTGCAATATATAAAAAAGTTTTATTCATGCTATGCTGTTTTGCAATAGTAAATACCTGCAATGTGCACATATTAGCATTGCAAAATTAATGAATGAAAGGGTGCTACATGTCAAATAAATCTTATTTTGATACTCTGTATTGATAGGGGCCCACCAGCGGCAGAGTGGTAAAGATGTTGAACACTGGTATTTCGGTCCGAGGTTCGAATCCCACGAACGGGCTGGCTGCAGGGGCACTTTCACGGTTTTTCCCATGTGTAACCTGTATACGAGCCACTTTCCCTTAGGAAGTCCTCTACGAAGGCATCCCTCCCTTTAGGCAGATAGCCCTCGTGTGCTTTGCTATAACTGAATAATCCAATCCAATCCAATCCATCCTGTATTGATAGGTGAGCTATGAAATTTTTTAGTAAAGAAGCTAACAGTTTAATTTATGTCACATTAAGAATTTTGAATATGTTCAAGTTTAAAATTAATGGACTATTTTTGAAATTTCCGATGAAATAAGTAAAACTATATGGAAAAATTGTGCTTCTTTTTTATGCAATACTACTGTAACCCAAACAACATAAAATGCATTTTTTATGTAATATAATTCACAATTGTGATATGTACTGCATTGAAAAATTATAGAGATGGCTTCCATAACATATTTTGCACTGGGACTCCAGTTTTGTAAACTGAGTCCTTCGATTTTATTTTGAATATCAGAGTTAGTAGTTTATTTTTAGGCCATAACCCATTTCCCATTTTGATTCAACTCAAGAATTTTTTTTTCCCATATACTTGTAAATGTCATCAAATAGCCATGCATTTTTAAATTACTCATTTTTATATCAATATTCTTGCATCATCAGTATTGCAGCATAATACTGAAAGTCCATTTTTATTGACACGAAACAATATGAACATAATTTCTGCTTCCAATTTTTGGTATGCCATTTTATATGTAACATGTATTGTTACTTTATTTCATTTGTGTTGCACTGTAATTATTCATTTTATCTACTTTAATTATTTTAATTCTATTTAAGAAGAAGAAATTAAAATACTTACATGCTTTTCAGAAAATGTGGCCTGAGTATTGCATTGATTAACCTCACAAAAATAACTTGTGTAGAGCTATTGTCACTTTGTAAGCATGAATTTAATATATACCATGACTGTTATGCAGACTATGAAGAATATGTTAATAACAAAGGAAGAAAAGCTTGAAGAAATGAACAGGTCATCTAGGGTTTTCAGTTATTTTCAATGCCTGTTTAGGAACGGTGAATCTGGTAAAATTGAAGTATGGGAATTAATATTTCGTCTTATGGGGAGACATATTCTGGACTATAGTAGTATGGAGTGCACAAGTAAACTTGTGATGAGTGTTTAGAAAGGATCACGATGTAGTGCAAATAAGGGCACTCTGATAGAAAAAGGCAGAGTCAATTGCAAGAAATATGTTAGTGCCAAAAATTTATGCGTGACTTTTGAGATGTACTTAAGTGATACAGAAAAGGATACCCTTTCTTTCCCCCACACACATTAGATTATAAAGGGAGAGAAATACTGTTCTGTAATAATCATGCAATTTGATCACTATTGCATTAAAACTGACTATTAAATTTTGTGAACAAGCTGATGGAACATCTGATACTAGTATGTGTATATATGTAAAATATAAAATCTAGCTTTCAAATAATAAATTAATAGCCCTTTAACATCCGTTTCATTCTAAAATTAACAGCAATAAATTTTTCTCCCTGCAGTTCTGATGCGCTCTTACCAATGAAATCTGAACCCAAAATCCTGTATACATTGACGTGTCATGTGATCTGAAATGGAATTCGGTATATAAAAAGCTTAATTATGTCGCAACTCCCTCTTCGCTGGTTGCTTGCGCTGCTTTCTGCTGTGCCGCTAGCTACGCAGTTTCCTTTCCTAAATTTGTCCATTGTAAGCTGAACAAAATTGTGGGGTGCATAGCGCACCCACAGAGATAATGTTCATTATCAAAAAATAAAATATGTGGAATTTACCGTTATGTGTGTTCTTCAAAAGTCATCTTGCTAATTACACAGCAAAGTCGCAGTCCTCTCCAACACCAGTCTGTTGCAACTTTATTCTCACCAAGTCATCTTATTTCAATATGTAACGCAGTGTTATTTCATCTAATAATGCAATCTTATCACAATTATAAGGCAGTTATCATATAATGGAACAGTATCAAATATGCTAGGGTTAATAAAAGGGAAATAAACATGTAATTAAGTCTATATGAGATAATAATGACATAAATTTTAAAGCAACTGTGGCAACTGTATAATATACTTCTTCAGTTGCACTACAGCCTATCACAGGCCAAGGTCGTCTCAATAAACATTCTCCAACGGATCCGATTAGTCGCTACGGTCTGCCAACGATTGATTTTAAAGTCCTAGAGGCAGTAACTACGCCTAATATATTTTAGATATAGACCTAGATATGGTAGTTCTGAAGATTTATGGATACAGAACTGTATTTGAAAAGATTAAAAAGAATTTAAAGTAATTTTTTTTATCTCAGTACTGAATGGAATAAATCCTTAAATATGTGCCTACTAGGTGGTTATCACTTTTACCAGCAGTTAATAAGTTATTAAAGAATTAAAAGCCATCAACAAGCTCTTTTCAGATTATAAATTTAGCACCTTAAATTGAAGGAAAAACCTTTCTTTTCTTTACATCATCAGTCTTTTTATAGAAATATCAAGATTGTAAATTTAACTATCATCATGTAATAATTTAATGCCGTTGAAGCACTGATGATTAAAACTTTGCAAAGGGAGATCAGCCTTGAAAACCACACAGAATTATACCGGTGAGGAAAAATATTTCCCCGAATCCCATCTGATAACAATGTGAGAAAAACGTAAGTCTCCTGTACAAGTGACAGTTTTCGTAGCGATCTGCCGCCACATATTAGGTTATATCGTTCAAAATGTCTGCAGTGGGAACTCATTATTGTTAAATGCACATGACTTTTACTACTTTCAAAACGAAAAATGTACCTACTGTCATAAATTCATTGCACTTCTTGGAGAATAAGCCTTTGACATGTGGGTGGGAGCTTTTCTTTCTTTGAAAGCCTCAACCTTTATCTAAGGAAAGAGAATGTGGATTCAGAAGTTAAAATTGATTTTTAAGGCTTATGTTTTATTAAAACAGATTTTTGACATCAAAAGCATTTTTTACTGAAATTATGGTTTACTTTCATAAAATATATCCGAAGCGCATCTTATTTAGGGTTCCGTTAGAATTACGATTTATCCCCAAAATTGAGAAGTACTGGCTTCGGGTTCCACAATTTAAACTCTGAAATCATCTTGTATTTCAGACAACAACTACAATATAGTTATTTGTGTTATTATGCTTGAACAATTATATTAATATTTAAGACCTTTAGCTTGATATAAATGAGGTCAACATTTATGAGAAATTTTATTCCGTGAAAGACAAGAAAATTCTCATTGGTAATAATGCTCTGAAAATGGGGTATCACAAAACCTAAAAATTACATTAGATTTTAATGAAAAAAATTCTTGATTTTGTTATCAGTTATTACCACTATTCAATGTTTACGGTGAATAAATATTGTCTTAGTCATATTATAATTGGTTTAGTGCTGGGAATTGTTTATGATGTAGATACGATCGATGTAGAAAACTGAGTGTTAAAAATTATGTTAAATTTTATTTTATTATTTATAATTATTTTCAGTATAACTTCACGTGTTTATCATTTGTAACTTTGTGACTCTGAGTCTGGCAACTGAAAAGAGTATTCTAATGTTTTGAATTAAATGAGAATTATCTTCATATTTGCAGTTAGATGTTTTATAATATAAACATTGCAATTAATATTAGAAAGAATAAAAAGAGTGTTGTCTTAAAACTTTGTACCTTATTTGAGTTTTGAGTTCTAGGAATATTGATTTATAACTGAGTTTTGAAATCGCTATCCGACAATGCTGAGTAACAAATCAGTAATTAATTTTGAATGCATATGCTAAAAATTTGTAGAATATGTAAAGAATAATATTGAGCTTCAGACGGCTGCTTGAAAATTTAAATACACATGAATTTAAATAAGAACTTCCGCAGTCTATAATCATTTTGTAGTTGTTTATAAGTTAATTTGATGTAATGTGTCTGTTTTAGAAGATTATTTTCTCTTATCTACAGTGAGCACAATGCTATCAAAATTTGCCTTATTTTGACACAAAATTTAGCAAACCTAATGTTATGTCAGTACTTGCACTTTATGGAAGTATGCAATATCAAATAATCTAAGAAGTAAAATAAAGCGGTTCGAAAGGAAATCTTACCAAATGGATATAAGGGTAGTAAAAATAATTAATTGAAAGGATAATAAGAGGAAATGGTTAGCTTGATGAAAAACTTCATATACTATGCACGAGTAGAAAACAAAGAGCACAAATAAACCGCACTTTTCTGAAAATATTATTATAGTTCACAGGCGGGAAACGTGAGGCCTCTAGCTGTTGTATTAATTACTATTTAATTATACAGATAATGACAAACTGAAAATTAATACAATCAAATAGCCATGGTGCCATCTATTGAGCATAACATGAATTAGAAAGCTGCAGTGCTGGTGCTCTAGTGGTCTTTCATAGCATGAAGTGGCTACTTTTCCAATAAGCCTCGCAACCTCTCAGCGTTTTCCTTATATGCTGCGGAGTAGGTGATCTGTAGTTATCTGTGTGTGCTTGCACAGGAATATACTTTATAAATTGTGTGAATGGGTATTGCTATTCAATTTTAATATCCAGTTCGCTGAACTAAAAATATTTTAAGAAGGTTTTGCTGAAATGGTGCAAACTAGCTGAATACCATACACATGTACTCTTTCCTTGAACTAATCAGCAGGTGTACCTCTTGCATGCCTGTTATATACACTGCTGGCCATTAAAATTGCAGCACCAGGAAGGAATGATCTGACAAACGTGAAAATCATATGAAAGGAAGAAGTTGGGATATGCAAATGATTAGTAGTTCAGCACATTTAGACGTCGCAGGAGGGAGAAATGATATCTGAAGCACTGCATAAAAGAAAAGTTGTGTAGTGGATTTCTCATTCGGAAAGTGCTTTATAAGGTTGGAATTTGCTCAGAATACCATGTTATGCATCGAGTAAGAAGAGGAAATGCTTACCAGCAAGTTTCGAAATTCGATAGAGGCAGGATCATTGCCTACCGAAAGTGTAGGTTATCGTTCCGTGATATCGCCGGTCACACTGCTCGACATACGAATATGGAATCAATGGATTGCTGAGGGTCATACTAAACGCCATGCAGGATCTCAACTCCCTCCCATGACTAACGCCAGAGAGGACAAACATATTGTGAGGTCAATCATGCAAAACCGTACGACCACATCACGAGCCATTAGTCAGGAAATCAGCATGTTTGCAGCACGCCCAGTATCAGCTTGTAAGGTGCATGGACTATCAGCAGGGTGACCATTACTTCAGCTTCCCTTGACAATGCAGTACAGAGAGAGACACCGACTCAGATGCGCTAAATGACAAAGCGGGGTACAGGAGTGACACAATGTCGCCTTTTCAAAGGAATCCCAGTTCTACGTACAGTATTCCGATGGCTGCTTGCATTTGATATCGGCATAGGAGCCCTGCACCTGGTGTGATGATTTGGACAGCCATTGGGTAACAAGCTCGGATCGACGTAATTTAAACACAGATGGGTGCATTCCTGACATCTTAATCCCCTATCACATACGATATTTGTTGCCAGAACAAAACATTTGGTGGAACAGTTCTGAGAAACCGTCCTCCGTGAAATCGGGTTACCATCTTCACTTGGCAAACAGGCTGAAAGCCAAACAAGAAACAGTTATCGCTCAGATTGGCAAAAGTGACGTTTGCTTCTTCGTGTTGTTTTGTATCGCTCACACTCTTTTAGTTTTCAACTGTATTGTAAGTTATGGAAGATAACAGAAAGGTGATTGCTATCAAGTTAATCACTTTAATCTCCACTCTGGCGATTATAAAAGCGAAACAGAAAAAACGTGCAAAGAGAAGTACCTGGTCAAGAAAATGGCTCTTAAGAATGAAACAGCTAGGATGCTACGAAAATTTGATGAGAGAGTTAGCATTGGAGGTAGGAATATTTTATTTATATTTTTCAATAAATTTCCTTTTCCAAACTTATATTTCAGTTTACAATTTGTTAAATGTTTAATAGATTTAAATATTGTGAAATTTATGTTATGCATTCCAATTTAAAACGTTTGTATTAATATGCATCAAGATTATAATGAATTCTAATCATGTACTGTTTACATGATTAAAATATTATTATTAAGCGGAATTAAATATCATATTTCAAGGGTGAGAAACATGTAATCCTGTTTATATTATGTTTTGTTTTTTATTTAGTTCTGTGTTTGATGGGAACTTATTATTTAATTTTCAGTTATTGATGTGCATTTAAATATATGTATGTGGGTTTTAACATAAGTTTCACCTGTATGGCATGATATTGTACAAATTTGTTTATAGTTTAAAATTAAGACTATGTATATAGTTAATTATTCCAAGGTTATATATTAATATAAAAATACAGTTAATTATCCCAAGGCATATATTTACATACAAATACTTAATGTTACAGATATTTAATATCTTTTAATCAATATCCCGGATATTAATGTTTTAAAAATTTAAGTAAAGCTTCCACTCCATCTGCAAAGTAATACTAGCAACATTAAATAATCCAGTTATTTATTATAAGCAGCTTTCATAAAATCTTATTTTCTTGTCTAAGGATGCTATCATTTATGTTTAGGGTTCCGAGGGATATCGACGATGGATACCAATGCATTTGTTTTTACTCAATGGCATCTCAGTGCTAATTGGCAAAAATACTAGATTTAGAGAAGCAATTCCTCCTGGAGAAAGATTAGCTGTCACTCTTCGATTTTTGTCAACAGGTAATAATTTTTGTATCTGCATGTAATTTGGTTACCTAGCAGCTAATATATATACAGTCAAAAGTCGTTAATCCGGACTCATCGGGACTTTCCGGATTATAGATCATCAGTTTAAATCTCGTAAGATGGCATGCAGAAATTCTAAAATTAAAAATATGAAACCGTAATTTATGAAATAAAGAACAATTATGATCTAAAGGGTATCAAAATTTACAAAAAAAAAAAAAAAAAAAAAAAAAAAAAAAAGCTTAATATTTAATTGTTTATTTTATTAAACATTTCTTTCAATGTAAGTTGTTTAAGTTGCTTCATTTTATGTGATAATACTTTCTCTTTAATTCTATAAACAGACATAATTTCTTGTTCAGTTACAAAGTCCCGCTGTTCAAGTCCCGTTAATTGCTGTGCCGAGAATACCGACTAACTTGTCAATCGAAATTTTTTCGTTTTCACTAACCTCTCTGTCACATTCTTCATGCCTTTATCCATTTTTTGCAGCAATTCCACTTTTTGTTTGTTGGACATCGAAACATACTTTCGTTTTGTAGATCCTTTAAGTTCCAGCATCGGAAATTCTATTTGACATAATCGAAAGTTCAAGTTTACTTTTATAAAATTGCTCTTACTGTCTGCAAAAAATAATAAGCGGGATCCAATTCGTAATTTTAGCTTACACCGTCCGTTATACATTAAACGCGCAGGCGAAAACATATTCTGCACTTGCGCACACGCATATGCGCAGTAGTCAAGGTCTTACGCACACGCGTAAAACGCCTGTGCGCATGTGCCAACGTGGCGCATGCGCAGAAAGTTTTTAGCTTTGAGGTCCGGATTATAGATCATTCCGGATTATGGGTGTCCGAATTAACGACTTTTGACTGTACGGTGTAAATCATTTAACACAAAACTGAGGACACTGAAATATTTTTTCGTTTTAAAGAATATTGGGGAGGGAAGAAAACATACAATCAACAAAATTAAGTACATGTCACTTATATGAATGAAATAAAAAATACACAAGAATTTAATTTAATACAAAATTTTCAATTTTTTTTTTAAAACAAAACATTTCTTGAGTTTTTTGGAAACTAATCTGATATTTTTCTTTGCATTGTATTTTTTAGCATCAAACTGTCAACAAATTGTTCGATGTTGTCCATTTAGTTACTAATTTCACCATTGGATTGTGCATCTAAATAACTGTTCATTACTTTTCATGATGTTTCTCATTTCCAAAATGTCTTTTTCAGCCATAATTGGGTCTGTACACACATTATCATGTACTGCAATGAATTCTTCCGATGATACAGTAGGACAGTGCTATAATACAGAAACTTTCTCAGACATTTCATTAAGTGTTGATTCAGTTCCAATATTGTCCTTCTCCATTTCTTTTGGCCTTGAACAAAACTCACTGATTTTTTACACACATTGCAATGTACTTGTTACCAAAATCTAAAGCCAACTGATGAGAGATGAGATGATTTTGTGTGGCGTTTGTAGGGGTGGAGGGTGAAAGTAGCTTAGATGAACAAAATTGTATCATTTCACAGGCTTTTCTGACAGTATTTCAAAGCCAAGTTAGCTTTCTTTCTACGAAACATGTGAAACCACCTCTCTTTCATTTCACACTCCTCTTAAATCTCACCTGCGTGGCTGGTATTTTCCGTACTTTGTCATTCCCAGAAGGGAAATCTGTTCCTGTTAAGTGATTTTCATTTAGTGTTAAAAAGAAAGAAAAAAATGCATGAAAATACATATTAGTTTGTCGGGACCATTGTATTATTTTGTGTTAAGCGTTTCCGCATTAAACGTATTTCACTGTATATATATAATAATATAAATAAAAGGAGAGAAGGACTATTTAAGCTTTTATTATGACTTTGTAGATTGGAATTTATATAGTCTTCAAATTGTAATTCATAGTTTTCTTCATTGGCATTTTTAATTTTTACTTTATTGGATTTTAATAGGAGTATCTCACTTTCATTCCTTTGATTATGTATATAAATATATACCTAGCTTTATAATAATCGATGCATGTATTGTTATAAAGAATTATCAGGTATTAAGACACATGCAAATAATTCAAGTTTCTTATAACAGAAGCATAGGTTATATATAGAAAAACTACTAGTCATTGAAAAAATATTATGCTTATAATACAACAATTTTTATCCATATTTGATATTTATCATTGATGACAATACTTTTTCCCCTTAGGAGAGACACAAAGCTCCTTATTCTTCCAGTTCCGAGTAGCGCAAAATACCATCTCGGGCATAATTGTAGAAGTTTGCAAAGCTATTGCAGCATTTCTGCAGCCACTTTTTCCAAAAGTTCCAGACACTACAAAAGAGTGGTTGGAAATAGAGAAAAACTTCTACAGATTGTGGAATTTCCCAATGTGCGTCGGAGCGATGGATGGAAAGCATGTCAAAATTCGTCCACCACCCAAATCTGGATCATTGTATTATAATTACAAAGGGGATTTCAGTATTGTTTTACTAGCACTTGTAGATGCAGATCTGAAATTCTTGTATGTTGACATCGGGACAAATGGGAGGGTTAGTGATGGTGGTATTTGGGCAAAGAGTATGCTAAAAAAGGCTATTGATGATATCTTAAATATTCCTGAGGCAGATCTATCACCTTACAGTACAGTTAAAGTACCATATGTAATTGTTGCTGATGGTGCATTTCCTCTTTGTCCAAATGTAATGAAACCTTACCCTGGGCAAAAATTAAATCACCCTAAAAGAATTTTTAATTACCATTTGTCAACAGCTAGAAGAGTATCTGAAAATGCCTTTGGTATTCTGGCCGCAAGATTTCAGTTGTACAAGTCGAACATACTGTCTTCCCCTCAAAATGCCAAACATTTTGTAATGGCTACTTGTTGTCTACACAATTTTTTAAGATCTACATCTTCAGCTGTTTATACTCCCAAGTACAGTATAGATGAAGAGGATGTGGCACAGAAATGTTTGAACCTTGGTGATTGGCATAATGCGCAAAATGCACTTGCTTCACTTCCAACAGTAAGCCACCAAGGAACTCAACAAGCCAAGTACATACAAAACATATTTTGTGAGTATTTTAATACTGTTGGCTCAGTACCTTGGCAGAATGAAATGTGTTTATTGCATTAATTATTACTTTTAAATTGTATATTTTTACTACTCCGATTCTTTGTAAATATTTCATAAAGGCTATTTGCTCAAATTTTTTCTTTAAATTCCCAATACAAATGATTTCTATTACTTTCCTGCCCTTTATTAAATTTTATACTTTATCCAAATAGCAGAATATTTTGAATTTTGAGGACTCCTTTCTGAGTGTTTGTTTCATCACTTGGTGAATATTTAACATGTGTATAACTTTGCTGTAATCAATATGAATGAAATACAAATGATTTCTATTACTTTTCTGCCCTTTGTAAAATTTCATACTTTATCCAAATAGCAGAATATTTTGAATTTTGAGAACTCCTTTTTGAGTGTTTGTTTCATCACTTGGTATAACAAAAGGAGTTCTAAAACATAACATGTGTATAACAAAAGAATCTTTCGAGTTATATATCCAGTTAAGATTGAGTTACCTAAAATTAGATTCTGTTTATCATAAAAATATTCCAAAAGTATAATTATATTGTTACACTGTAACTGCTTACATTATACTCATGCCAAAAATGTAACTTAGTAAAATAAATAACTCTGAATGGTCATTTGCTAAGTCATTTCTTATGCAGTAAATAACAATACACGTAAAAATATATAATTAATGCTAACAGAAAGTGAGACTGAACAATATTTCAGTTTTTGCTGTTTATTGAATTTATCTAATCGAAATGCTTATCAAATATTATTAGTGACTATGAATATTTTATATTCCTAACATAAAAACATGAAATGCAATAAAATTTCTCATTGGACGCACATTTTTCTCTTAATGTAATGTGTATTATAATCATGTTTAAATAAATATTTACATAATTATTATGCGCAAAATAAATTTACAGAATAGCATAAAACAGAAATAGAAGCCAATTTTATTTTATAAAGAAAAAAAAAAACCATATTTTAAATTACACAAAAAAAAAAAAAAAAAAAAAAAAAAAAACCACCTCGGCTACGAAAATTTTGCTTTAAAAATCAATTTTTGTATTTTCATTTTCAGTAGTTCTCTTTTCCACAAATTGGAAATATCTAAAAGGGAGGAAGCGACATACTTGCCAAACAGAACTTCTGTGTTATTTTCTGTTTCCTGCACTTTTAAAAGTGCAGCAGAAGCAGTGGATAGGAAGTCCTGTATGTCACTGTCCTCCCTTTTGCCCTTCTTCCTTTCAGCTGGCTTGGTGCTTGTTGAAGGAGAAGGAGAGGGCTCACTCACATCTAGAAGTGACTCGCTAAAAATGAAATTTTGGCTAATGGCAGGAGAGGGCTGCTCTGTACATTCTTCCTCCTGAAAAGAATATTAAATATTAGTGTCCATCTGTTTTTAAAAATCTAGCAATACATTCACATAAATAAACTACTAAAACAATTTAAGTCTGAACCTTGATGCAGAATCTCGCTGTAGCAACAAAATGTATAGCCCTTGGTTAACTAGACACTATCATTGCAATGCTTTACGAGGGCCTTAGCCAAAAATAATAACAGTCTCTCTTTAATCAGAAATAAAAGGCCATATTTTGTTGCAATCATGTATAGGAATATAAACATATTATAACTAAATAGAAAATGATAATGCGAATACAGTAAACCGTCATAACACAAACTCGCTTAAAGCGAACATACAGTTAACATGAAAAAATTTTGGTGCCGGCAAGTGATGTGTATAATCATAGGAAGTTAGTCCTCTTCAACCTCTGGATCAAGGCATTACTGAATTTATTAAGTTAGTTATAAGTCTTACTGCAGGTAATTTGCGAGAGTTGAATTTTGTGCGTTTGAAAAGACAGAAATGCAAACGTGGAATCTGCTTTATGCAGTCAAAGCTACCGGTGCACCCTCAAAATCTGTGTCATCAACATCAATCTGTGTCATACAACAAAAAAGTAAATTATCTCAATCAGAATAACATTAACTGTGTGTTTACATCACATACAGTGCAAAAACAAGATTATTGTAGTCCATGATCTGCCACTGTGGTTACAACATACAACAATAATTCTAGTATTAACAAAAATGCTGTAATTTTACTTTTGAAACCTATACAATCATTGCATATAAGAATATTTAAATTACCAAAATTATTTCAATTACTTTATTTACTTAAAATTATATTTAAAAATCCAGTGCTATAAATTAATGATAATATATTGTTACGGTTTTTGTATTCATTTAGCTATTTTAGTAGAATTAATTAAAATTGTTTTATATCCCCGTGCAATGCAGGACGAGACTTATTTTAAGAGAAAGCTATGTCGAAAAATTAAAAATACATGAGCACTTCATTTAATAGATATCTCAAAATTTATCTTTTGCTTTCCAGAAAAATCGAGAAAATACCTGAATATTCTCGTGCTTCATTTAAAAAGCTCATAAAATCTGAAGGAAAACATCTAAATTAAGTTGTTGTTTGGATAACTGTTGTTGTTTATTGTAGCAAATTCATGGGGAAATCGGATTAGCTTTCTCTGTTCTTCCGTGGAACGGTGTTTGGTACACCAGCATACCTGAGCAACAAGGCTCTACCCCTTGTGGAACAGTTTGCAAATTGCAAATGGTATGATGAAATAACCTAAAAGATATCTAAAGCAATTTGCTTTTTATAATAAAGTTTTTAAAGTGAATAATTAATAATTTAGAATTCATATTTAAGTCAGAAGTTTGGAAATGCTAATTAAAGTGTTAAGCAACGTCGAAAGCTTTCTCTGTTTTAAATTAAGTTCTGTTGAACGTTTTCGTATTTTAAAAGATAACTACTGTGAGATATAGAGATATTGTACAAATATGTCTAAAGAAATCTAAGCATTTTGTTTTTATTTGTGGTAAGAATAAATTTCATTCACTTTTCATCGGACTTGTGCATTCAATTTATTATGAACCCCTATGCATGCAACAATATTAAACACTTACCTCTTTTACTTCATCATGTATGATATTTGAGGAGAAAGAATTATCCAAATTGGAGCAACTGTCTTCTGCCATCGTGCCATCATCCAAGAAGGACAGGCGTTGGAAATGCTCCCATTTCGGAACGAAACCCTGTCCTCCACTGCCACTTTTAAACGTGAGCATTCTTTTCCGCTCCCTCCTATACTGGCTTCTCAGATTTTTAAATTTTGCAAGCATCAAGTCTATAAATTTATGGTACACAATAAGTATACATAAACATACATACATTTCTTAACTAAAATTCAAAACAGATAAGCTTTGGAAGACTTCAGTTTTTACTTTTAACTTGAGAAGTCAATCTGCAAGTAAAACAAATGCTCAGTTTTCTTGTCTTTTTGAATTTGATACATCATACAAAGAAATTAAGAGATGGTTATCAAGGTTGTTCATGAGTTGTGTACATATTATGTAAATAAAACAGAATTCAGATAGAATTATGCAATTAATTTTAGTAAACTAAATTGTAGGGTTTCCCTTAGTTCAATTAACAAATTATTCAAATTTTTGTTATCTTTCCTGAACTCATCAACTTCCCTTCGCATTTCATCACCAGGATGCTAATATAAAGTTAAGTGAAACGAGTATTTCAACGGGTGACTCTGAGTTTATTCAGAGTGTGTTGTCGCTAGGCAGTGCATTTTACGATTCTGTCCTTGCTGTTACGCTTTTTTTGCCATTTAAATAATTATAACGTCAGGTAGGTTGTCAAGTCAACCTAGTTAGTCTTAAGGTGCTGGTCCAGCACTACTTTTAGTCCAGCACTTGAATTGATTGTATAACGATTCTGAAGTTCCACCGCTAGTTGTCGGTCTTATTGCAAAGCATGAAGTACATGCCCTTTTTTATAGCTGAAGATAATAAAGGGTTATTTTCGCCCTTCTTCTGTGCTGGTATTATTTCACGCCTGTGCGAGAAGTCATCAGGTTTCTTAATAGGATCTAGTAAGAGTTTATGTAGCCAAAGGAGAGAAAGATCTTATAAACTCTCAACATCAGTATTCCTTACTACTTTATGCATTACTTACTTTATGAAAAGAATAATGTTTAAGTAACAGATAAACACACTTCTGGTTATAGCAATCAAATACATCAGTAATAGCCAAATTCTGCATACACTAAGACCAGTTTAAAATGTGTGCTGGATAAGTCTATTTATCAGACATTACTTATGTGTATTTTCTGACATCTGCATTCCAATGAAAATTCGATGGCTCACCGGAAAATTTGTGACCTGGTGAAAGCATTTTCTTGATTAACTTTATGGCTCATAATTACTGTTCTGTCCATAAATACGAACAAACAAACAAAAAAAAAAAAAAAAAAAAAAAAAAAAAAACAGACCTATGATAAAATTCTATATGGTTGATATTTACATCCTCACAGCCAGCAGATACTATTCAGCAAAATTAAGATTAAATAAAGCAATCAAACATGTGCGAGTTGTTTACTGTCCCATAGAACACTCGGTAATATACCTAAAACACATTAATTATACCAACTCTAGAAATTAGGAGGTGCACATCATGAGTTTGTTTTATGTGATTATGGCAAAGCCTTGAGGGATATCTGCCAAACAGGAGGGATCCCTTTGTAGAAGATTTTTTTAAAACTGGCTCGTATACCAGCAACAAATGGGAAAAACCAAGAAAACGCCCATGTAGCCAGCCTGTTCATGGCATTTTAACCTCAGGCAAAACTACCAGTGTTCAACGACACTTCGGCCACTGGTAGGCCCGTGAACATAATTGGCAAGTACAGTCCATTATGTAAACACACAGGAAGGTGATAATCAGTTGTGCACTGTTTGTTTTAAGTAACATTTCTTATTATTCATTAGTCATGTTTATATTATATAGATCATACATATAATATAATTATGAATTTACCCACAAACAAAATGTGTACACTCTTTAGTACTCAAATGCTCATCAATTATTTTTCAACTGATTATTACATATCCATAATAATTTGCAAAGAACTGATGATTACAGTTGCTGCCAATTACATGATCGTTATATGAATTAGAAGTAACTTCAAATAACTTTTTGGCAATGTTCATTTTTATATTCATACATATATATACACATCTAATAAGTCGGGTAGAGTAGACTTTAAGGTACCCTTTGTATTATGGCGAAGTTGTTGTTTCATTTATGCTAGCCTGAGTAGTTGAATGTTATGGAAACGTGATCGGGTGTACGATTCTGGGAAATTTTGAATCATGGGATGTTTTGTAAGCATTTTTGTGGTGTGTGTTGGTTTGATTCTTTAGACGGTACAATGGCCGAATGTAGTAAGATTAATTTGAAGTTTCTGTACGATTTGGAGCGAAAGGGAAAAAGAGCTTTAATTGACTGGTGTGTAAATGACGGTTTACTTAGTAGCCATTATAAGTGTCCTGTAATGTAGGAAGGATATGCCTCTAGTCGAATGTAAAAACCGTTTAGATGGATTTGAATGGGTTTGTAGGAAGAAAGGTTCAGATGGTCACTATGTGAAGCGTTCAATCAGAAAGAGTACCTGGTTTGAAAAAAAGTCATTTGAATATTATAGATATTTTGACTTTTACGAGGCTCTGAGTGTACAAAGTGAACTCGAAAATCACGGTAAGTGAATATTTGCTTTTGGTAGTGCTTAAATGTATAACATGTTTTTCCTTTTTTTATGTTATTTTATTGTTTGGTTTAAAATGTACTTTATTGAGATTATGTATTTTTTATTTGGCTATATTGTATGGTGCTCCTTTGACTTTTTAAGTGAAAATATATCGATGTGTACATGGACAAAGTAAAGGGAGTGCGCAATGCAAGTTTGTGCAATTCTGGGATTTTTTTTAAAGTGAAAATAGGTCGACGTGTACATGGACAAAGTTAAAAGAGGTCACAATGCCATTTTTGTGCAATTCAGGTATTTTTTTTTTTTTCAAGTGAAAATAGGTCGACGTGTTCATGGATAAAGTCAAAGGAGTGCTCAATGCCATTTTTGTGCAATTTGGGGATTTTTTTCAAGTGAAAATAAGTCGATGTGTACATGGATAACGAGTTTGTCTTGCGCAAGCCAAAATAACAAGTCAAAGAATTTCACAAAATCGGTATCCATGTACCACCAAAAATCGCCAAGGGGTACCCTAAACTATACTTTTACCGATAAGTCATATATTTACATACAGATAGAGAGATGCAATGGTTTAGAAGTTGTTGATATATATTTATTAGTATTAATGTAATGACTAAGATGTATATTAATGAATGTATATACAAATGTTTTTCATCATGCATAATAATAATAAAAAAAATTTCCAATGTTTCAACATGTAGCATTAACAATAAAAGTATAGTTTCTAATGTATTTATAATCCCAAAAGTATTTCATTAATAACATAAAAATAAAAGAAAAAATTAATTATTCTCATTATTACAAACTATGCTTTTCTTTTTTATGCTGTTTAAAATGTGTCACTGATTATGCAAGTAACAATTTAAAACATAAGTAATTAGGGGAAAAGCCGCACATATACAAACGGATTTTATGCTGTTTAAAATGTGTCACTGATTATGCAAGTAACAATTTAAAACATAAGTAATTAGGGGAAAAGCCGCACATATACAAACGGATTTTATGCTGTTTAAAATGTGTCACTGATTATGCAAGTAACAATTTAAAACATAAGTAATTAGGGGAAAAGCCGCGCATGTACAAACGGATTTTAAAACTGCCAAATTATTCAACTTAAATTTAAGAAATAAAATTCTATTATATAACAGCGATAATACACGATCAGCACGAAATACGACAAATTTGGAGAACTTTTGTAAACAACGAACGAACAATTTGTAAAGAAATGCGAACTGCAAGAACGTCGTAAAATACTATCAACTCTGAAATTTTCACAATTACATATTTAATGAATATATAAAAATTTTTAAAATGACTCAGGCAGTTATATTACAACAAAACAGCAATATATAGATATATAGATATATAAATTTTTGACTTACCGTACTGAAATTTTCCTGCATATTCCGGCCATCTTTCTTTCATATTTTCTGCTATTTCTTCATAGCCGACTTTTTTTAGGGTTTTTTTTGTGTAATATGGGTGCTTTATGTCCCATAAATATGGTTTTTTCTTAACTTCTTCAATTAAATCGGCCTCTATTTCCAACATCCTCGACTTCACAGTGGGAGCCATCGCCATATTAAAAGTTACCCGTGACTAGAGCTGGAGCAAACCGCATGTATTCGTTACTGAGTAACGGGTACATCGGTTGACTCGAAGTACCGATTCGGTACTCACAAATTCATTTCGTTACTCGCATCTGTCGTACGATGCGGTTTGTTCGAGTACGAATGATGCGGTTTCTATGCGAATACGAATGATGCGGTTGCTGTTCGAATACGAATGATGCGGTTGCTGTTCGAATACGAATGATGCGGTTGCTGTTCGAATACGAATGATACGGTTGCATCACGATGCGCTCATATTTTTCATAGATAATTTTGAATTTTTTTGGGCATCGGGCAAACTCTTGTTTACATTATGTGTTTTAGTTGAAATACTATTTAGTTGTTGATATTTAAGAAAATGAGCAATTTTGATAGCGTGAAGCGTTATTTTGTATTTGCTTTTTACTATTGCTATTTATGTTTGTAATTTGAAAATTTAGATGATTCATTTTTTTTTTTTTTCCTTGAGTGCCATAGTGAGATTTTATTGATTTGAAATATTTATATACTGCACTTAGGTATTGTTTATATAAGAATATGTAGGTTAATATAGGTTCTTTACTTCCTTGTATCAAATAAAATGGTAGTAATTATTGTAATCGAGAAAACTTTGGGTATCATATTTTAACGGAAATATCCGTTTTTGACGATTACGGAATCCATGTGAATTATTTTTTGGGCTGACGCCTGTACGTACGAACACAATGAAAGGACTCTCTCTCTCTTTTTTTTTTTTTTTTTTTTTTTTTTCAAAAAAACTTATTGTTAAATGTAATCCCATTTACTCTAAGCTGATACTTATGACTAATGATTATGACTCTAAGTTGATACTTGAAAGGGATTTTTTTCGTGATGTGTAAGTACGTATGTATGCATTTTGCATAACTCAAAAACGGTTAGTTATAGAACGTTGAAATTTTGTATATGGGTCCGTTATAACATCTAGATGTGCACCTCCCTTTTTATTGCAATCGGTAATACTACCAAACGTAAATATGTATATATATATCAAATAAATTATAATTAAATGTAAATTACACACACACACATACTTTGCTTTATATATATATATATATATATATATATATAATAAAAGCCAAGTAAGGCGAAAATAAAAGCTTTGGCTTTTATTTTATTTAATTATCACTAAATAAGTTACTTGACTTTTATTTTCGCAATCATTGGTTGTAGTCAGGACTTAATTTTTAAAATTAGAAGTGCTGGAGCTCTATGGAAGGCCATCAGGAAAGATGAATAAATAAATAAATAAATAAAAATAAATAAAATAACTATTACAATAATAAAATAATTAGCAACTAGAATATTAAATGATTATTATAATTCAATAAAAATTTAAAGACAAATGAAAATTTAATTAAATTAATGATGAATAACTAAGTAATGAAATAAAATACCAGACATCGTCTTGTTTGGGGGCTGTGGCTAAAATTGCAATTTAAGAACTAAGCCGAGCATTAGCTAAATTTAGGCTTTTGATGAGCAAATAATGTACTGTTTACCAGAGTATAGATAGAAATTTGGTTATGTAGCCCATTCTTCTAAAACGACGTTTCGTAGCTGCTGCCTTCCACCACCAATTCCTTTTTTTTTTTTTTTTTTTTTTTTTTTTTCGTTTTCGGTTTATTCGGTTTATTCGGTTACAGCAAAGCACACTAGGGCTATTGCCTACGGGGAGGGAGGCCTTCGTGGAGGATTTTTTAAAGGGAACTGACTCATATGCAAGTTACACACGGGAATAACAATGAAAACGAAACGCCCGTGCAGCTAGCCGTTAGCCGGGAATTGAACCCCGGACCGAACTATTAGTGCTCAGCGACTTTACCGCTCGAGCTCTGGTGGGCTCTTTTTTTCTTTTCATTCGCTGTTTGAAAAAACGGGTGTTTCACGATAAAGTAAGCACCTGTTTACTTCAATTAAAATGGGTTAGACGATATGACTCTTCCTACTTTAATCTCACTTAGCTTTTGATTTCTAATATTGATTCAATGTTTTCTGTAGACAAAGTATTCTGATTAGAATAATAGGATTTCAAACATGTTCAAAAGGTGTGTATCTGAATATAATTAGGTTTTTATAACATAGGGCCCATTTTATTAGTTTCACATAGTTCTAAAGCAATTGAACCACAGCATCGCTGTTTTGAAAGAAAGTAAAAATGTGAGAAATGTATAATGAACATTAATATACAAGCTTTATTAAAAGTAGTCAGCCTTTTAAAACGTGACCGTCTATGCTTTTAGAGGATTTTTGGAGCTCTGTGCATTTGCTCTGGCATCTTAAAAAAGTGATGTTCAATATCAACGTATGTTTATGTTCTCAAAAATACAGGTTTCTTTCAGAAAGCGACCTCTTAGAAGTCGTCAATAAATGATTCAGTATAGTTATTTTCTAATAGACCATAGAATAAATTTATTTTAACGTCAATTTAAAAATGGCTGCTTGTACTAAGAGTTAAGAGCAATAAGACTCTAATTTTTCTTTCGCAATTAGCTATCATGCCAGCTGAATTGTTTTCTGCATAACCTTTATTGTGTATAATTGAAATATTTAGCTATGCATTCAACAAATATACAACAAATGTAAGACAAATCATTAAAAAAATTAAAATTTGGAACATTAATGATAATTTTTTGTTATACATAAAATATTATTAATGAATGATGAATTTATATCATATTATATATAAATCAAAATTTAAACTCCTATTCCTTTATAATAAATTGAAGAAAAGCTATAAAGTGAATTAATTTTTAAAAACAAAACGAAAATTTAAAAAAAAAATTTGTCATATACCTAGAATCTAAAAATGACGAATACTGAATTTTACGACTCATGTGTGTATGGTGTATTTAATTATGGCAAGGCACACTATGGCTATCTGCCTAAGGGGGATGCCTTCTTCGTGGAGGACTTTCTAAGGGAAACTGGCTCGTATACACGTTACACATGGGGAAAACCACGAAAACACCCATGTAGCCGGACCGTTCGCGGGATTCGAACCTCGGACCGAACTACCAGTGTTCAGCGACTTTACCGCTCGGCCGCTGGTGGGCCGTTTTACGACTCATATAATAATAAATGCATATTCATATTGTAACAGAAATTTTGTTAGAAGTCTAGCATATGTATAGTTATTTGTGATCTTTTAAAACTGTCGTAACATGATGCATATTTATCATTATCGTGAACCAAAACAGTATGCTTTACATCCTTACAAATATACGTGATAGATTTTAATATTTATTTCTGCATATACTTACGTTTCCCAAAGACACGAAAGCAAGTCAAGCAGATTTTTGTTGTATTAAGCAGACTTAAGTTCTCTGTTAGCTAGTGTAACATAATTTCGGATGTTAGTAACATAATTTCGGATCTATGAGCCTTCCAGAATTATTAGCAAAATAGTGGAAACGTCTTTACAAAGTGTTTTTATAAGCAAACAGCAGATGTACACTGAGCAGTGATCAACTGATATATTTCTTAAATGATTTGGTTTAGTTGATTATGACAAAACACACTGGGGCTATGTGCCTAAAGGAAAAATGCCTTCGTAGAGCACTTTCTTAGGAAAGCTGGCTCGTATGGTACGTGGTAAGCTGGCTTGTAAGCTGGTACGGGAAAAAAAACCACGAAACGCTTATGAAGCCAACCCGTTTGCCTGAGATCGAACTCAAATACAAATCCAATTATGAAAACCATTGAAAATAAATGAGAATCGAACCAATACATTTCCAAATAAAAATAACTTTCTTTTGTATTTGGGAAAGTTTTATGGTCTTTATGAAAAAAGTGAAAATTTGATATGGATTCCGCATGACTTCCTTCTATGACTATTTAAATTATGCTTATTTTTTCTGCACTTCATTTAAACTTATTTCCTCGAATTATTCTAACTCAATTAAGCGATACCCGAAGGCAAGTTACAAATGGCATCAAACATTGCAAATTTTGAAACTAAATTTCCCGGTCAATCTTTGTCCTACGGGACTCAAACTTCTTGTATTTTTATTTTTTCATAACAAGTATAAAACTTTGCCAGATATAAATATAGAAACCAGAAGACGACATTAAAAGTTAGATTTCATAATTTGTCCAAAATTAATTCTTTTTTAAATTTGACATTGACAAAATATGAATATTTTCGTCATTTAAAATACTTCTGTATTTTTGTTGCACCGTATTTAAACTTGCTTCCTCGAGTTATTGACATTAAATTACATTAATTCCATTATCTATCGGAAAATAATTATAGCAAATCATCTATTTACGACATCTCTAAGAGGTCACCTTTTAAGATATCTCTATTTTTGGGAACATAAACAAACATTGGTAGTGAACATCATCTTTTTAAGACCACCACATGTAAAATCCTCTAAAAGCATGAATGGTTGCATTTAATAAGGACCCATTACTTTTAATAAGGAATGTACAGTCGGTCACAAAAGTATTCGAACACCGGCACCCATTCAGAAAATTTACTTTTCCGTTGAGAAACAAAATTGTCTCCAGAGTCCATCTTGGTTCGATAGAAAAAAAAACAAAAGGATGGCTCATGTCCAAATTGGCTAGGTGTATGAAACAAAATACAACATGACCTATCTGGGTGAGATGGGAAACAAAATGGCTGCTCACGTGATCCATTATTGCGCTCAGAGAAAACGCAAAGTGTCGCTGCGGCTCGTCTCGGTTCGCGAAGAGTGAAAACCCAAAACGGTCTGCAGTGTCTATCTTTGTTGGATGAGAAAACAAAAGGATGGCTCATGTCCAATTTATTTAGGTGTGGGAAAAAATATAACGTGACCTATCTGGATGAGATGTCTCCAGCGATCCAGTATAGACTTTTTCCCCATCTGCAATAGGTGACATCTATAAACAATTTCATTGAAATCTCCTCGAAATATAAGAAACAGCTAGCTCGTGAAATTGTAAGGTATTCCCAAAAAATTCCACTTCTTGAAGAAGGAAAAACATCCT